GCGCAGCTCAGTCTCTATTTTGCCATAGTTTCTCACCAACAGAAACAATTTCAGAGGCTTTTGCTCTGTGTGTCTTTACTGTTGTAAAAAATTTTAGTGTGTTTTTAGAGGTTTTGATGCAACACACAAACTAGTATCTTTTGAAGTTCATCCTTTCATTGTAGAACTAACCRAAACTATTTGTGGATTAAAACAAATGCTTCTCAAGATTAATCCTATTTGCTTAAATCTATTTGTATAAAAACCTTTGATTAGGGAAAATAAAAGAAATGGAAGCTACATTTCTTTATGCCAGATTTGTGTTCTTGGGCAGACATTTCAGTGCAACCCTGATCTAACAGGAATTGTCAGCTTGGTGCAAAGCCATGGGGTGTCAGTTCCAACCAGATCCTATCATCTCCAACTTGTTCTGAATTGAATCTCTTTGAGAATCACGTGATGATGGTTTGTTTTAAATTCCTGATACCATATCTCTGCTAAAATGAGGATTGAAATACACCTCCAAAAAAGAGGCCATCCCTTTGAGAAAAATGAAATGAACTCATGAGATATGCAGGCGATATAAATATGCATGAGTAATTTCTGTAGAATATAAGCTCTACAAAAGATGGTGGTTTTTTAGCTTTTAGGAAACATTTCTGTCTGAATTAGCAACTGTCAAAGTGGAATGGTTGAAAAGATTTTCTGCTATAAAGAGATGAAGCTTCAGCTTCCCAAACACCTTTCTTTATCWAAGGAAGCAAGTTGAGACAGTTGTTTTAGTGCCCTCTGAACACAGCAAGGTACCTGCAGAGATTCTTTGCAAATTCTTTTGATATTGTGTTGTCCTAAAAGAGTGCCAGACTCTCTTTCACACTTCAGAAGAGTGAGAATTTTGCTTATCTTTGGGAGTAAAGAACCCAGGAGATAAATGAAGATAGAAATAATAATGAAAAAAAAAAATACTATGCACTCTTCCAGAAGATGGATTGATTTGTCTTTGATGCAGTGGCATTACTACTTTGTTCCACTTTCAGAATCTAATTTTGTTCAGCTCTGTGTAAAATCTTCAGACTTTTTTTACAACTCCTGTAGAGTCTTTTCCTTACGCAGAGCAGCTTCTCTTGATACCCTTGCTCTGTTCATAGGCATGGCACCCCTTTTCCAGTGCGCTGATYAACATTTGATGCCCACTCCTGCCAATCAGCAGCCATCTATAAGTGAGAGTTAATCTAGTGGAGGTTTGGAAGAGGCTTTGGAAGTGATAAAATTCTTGTTTAAAATTACAGCTGGAAATTGCAGATTGGTTGACATTCTGTCCAGCTTTTCTGCCACATCATGAAGAAAGGAACCTGGTCTTCAGTCAGAAATTTTCCAGGTTCAGATTTGGACTGAGCTGATCTTAGATAATAAAGTTTTAAGCTGGTGATGGGGGAATAAAAATGAGGGAAAGAAAAGAATTTTAGCATGACTATTGGTTTCAGATTCTAAACTTTAATAAATTTAATTCTGGATAGAGGGAGTTCTGGAGAAGTCAGGCTATGTAGAAGCATTGTCACAACTGATGGGTTGCAGGGAAATGCTGAAATAGAAGTGTAAGATAYAGAATAATATGCATTCCCTCTGCAATAGGGTCTGTGGAAGTATTTCACTGAAAGGAGCTGCTTCCAGCAAGACACCAAGCGGGCTGTGTTACTGCCTTTTTTGGTTCTTAGGTTCTGAAATGAGAATGGGAAAGTTTAAACAAAGCCAGCAATTTATCAGAGGCCTASTTTTTTTTAATGTGTTTTGTGTCTGAGGCAAAGCATTACTGTTCCTGAGATTCTTGTGGCACCCGATAACTGATAAGGGACTGAATCAGTGCTTGCTGAAGTATTTTATAATTTTGAGATCTTTCATTGTGTGAGACTTCTGGCTGTCCAGGAAATGCTTTATTAGACAGTGTACAGGCAGTCTCAGCTTCTGTACGTTGCTTCTTCAGTACTGTAAGATAATGAATTTTGTACATGTGGATGAAACTTCTGATTGCAATAGTATTTTTCTGTGCTCAGCATGTTTTTGCTCCTGCTTACAAAGAGGTACTTCAGCTATTCTGGGGTGTTATTGTGGAAGAACTGGCTGACTTGGCTGATCATTCAGTCATTGTGATTGTACAGTCATTGAAGAGAGGTTGGGGAGCACTGCTGATCAATAGGAGCAGRCTTTTGTTAAACATTTGTTTTTCTTCTCATGCTTGTTTTCTGGAATCTCCTCAGAAGTGTTGGCCCCTGATAGTATTCACGTTTGTCTACTGAATTCCCAGCCTTGCTGTTGGTGAGCAGGACATAGCACATGGTGAGACTCCACTCATCATGCACAGCTACAGCATCATGAGTTGCTTGCTGCTCTCACATCCTTCTTTCTTACAGTTTGAATGTTATCTGTCTAACCTGTAAGAACTGCTACTTCCATGCCAAGGAGACTGAGGGTATGTTGTTGCAACTGTCTTGACTCTGGGACTTCTGTTTTTCAAGATCCCATGTGATCTGATYAGGTAGTATCAAAAATTTTTCTGCTTCAGGGCTTTTGTGAAAGTGGTCTCACATCATGAATCAGGCTTTATGAATTGAAAATGCTATGTTCTTGTGGGCTGCTTTAATGAAAGTACTAAAATTAGCACTACAGCTTATCCCGTTGGTGCTTGCAGTTGGAGYTAAATAGGAATAATCACAGAAGCTTTGTTATTCTTCTAGATCTGTTAGTCTGGCATCTTTCTAGAGCATTAATTCCACATTTTTCCTGACATAAAATTTGGCTCGAAAACATTTGATTCTGTTAGGGTAGTTTGTTAGATTTCAGAAATGTGTGCTGCTATTTGTCTTCCTCTTTCCATACATCTTCAGTCTTGACTGTATTTGATTCCTCCTCAGGGAAAAAGTAACTTCATGGAATTATGATGCTGCAACAAATGCTATGTCTCGGGCTCTAAAAATCTGACTGARAAATACTCATTTTCCTGTATTACACATCAGCTTCCCATTTAAATACAACATTTTGTTTTTTTCTGTCAGGATGGTGGTTGTCCCTTACTGCTACTGAGAAATAGTTTCATTACTGTTAGAGAATGATTTATTAGCATGTGGTTTGCATTTGTAGGAAGCCAACCTTGTAGAGACCACATTCCTGGTGCTTGTTTGTTTTACAGACTCAAATGCAGATGTTTTCCTTGTACAAACAAGTCAGAGGTGTCTGKCTGGGTCTGCCAGGCTGGGGGCTTAAGATAACAATCCAGCCCAGGCTGGCAGTGGCGCTTCATCCATGCAGACTGTGTGTGTTGGCAGCAGCAGCCCTGTGTGCCACGCTCCATCTAATCACAGGCTTCTGTGCCGGGAGGGAGGGCAACACTGCCTGGCAGCCTTTGTTTTCAGAGGGTCACATCACATCGCTGGTAAAGTTGAGGAAGGTGACATGCCAGATCTTGCATAGCATGAGCTAATGCTTTGGTTCTCCTAGAAAAGGGGTTATTTGTACGTGAAAGGTTGCTTTTTTATTACTAGGATTTCTTAGTGGCCAGCAAAGTGGGCACGTCAGAATGTAGAGGTGGGTAAGAGTCAATTAAACACCACATCTGCTTTGTGTGTTAGTGCTGCCCTGGTTTAATTTGCTGATCCAACTGTCCAGCACTGAAAAATGCCAATGCAGGACCAGGGCAGTATCATATGGCAGCAATAGGTCAGTTGTGTTGTAAAACTGCACCTCTTTGACAGGGTTGACTTAAAAGTAATGAATATGCTTCTCCTAGGGATGSAGAGCCAGACTGTTTTTGTGACTATTACTTGTTTTTCCTTCCAGATTGTGTTGGTGTTGCTGMGTGTCTGTATTACATCAGATCCTGTGATTCACCTGTAGCAGGATTCAAGAAGAATTATGGCATTTCAGCTCATGATTGGGACTGACAGCTTCTCTAGGAGAAAAAAAAGCAACTCTTCGTGCAGCTAGAACAGGAGTTGTTTTCTGTAGTTTAGTGAGCAGTGTAGATGGCTTGCTGATAGCTTGTCAGGGAGTGCTGGAGGCAGAGCCCTTTAGTGTCAGAGRGTGTTTGAATGCAGAATGTGCAGACATTGAAYTTGCCCAGATGCTTCCTAGCACAGAGGCGAGTGAGGAGACAGGGGTCAGCCYTCTGAATTCCCCTGGAAAAGGTGTGTTGATTGCAGGACACCTGCTTTGTTTGAATGTAGGATCTGAAGGAGTTGAGAAGCAGATTGAAGGTCCATCAGTTTAGCATGTGGGTAGGGATCTTCCTGTACAAGCAGAAGACTCTTTTCTTGTGAAATAAACTCATACATAAAACGAAGGAGAACTTGTTTGCTTGTACCCTTGTGGCATGACTTTAAATGTCATGTTGCAGTAGTCTGGTGGTGCTCAGGCTAGCACGGATTGTGCTAATGTTTGCCAAGAGTGCACGTAATGCAAGCAGCTCCACATGGAAACAGGCCCTGTCACAGTAGGTTTCTGTCTTCCACTCCAACATGTAACTTCTTCACAGTGAAGGGCTGCGAAAATGATTTGTGCTTTCCCCATACCTTTTGCTGTCCCAGTTTGCCTGKATTTGCAGCCTGTTGCTGCTTCTCCACCTCAGTAAGTGGTATCTGTCTGCCCTGAGGTTCCTACTTGGCACATTTAGTGAGGAACCTGATCCCCCCCAGTCTGCTCTGGGCCTCCAGAGTGGTGATGACAGTCAGGACTGGGTGTGGGGCTTCCATGCACAGTCAASATAATCCAGTGAATTCTTTATTCCTCCTCTCTGTGCTTTTGTGACGACGTGAGTTAGTTTTTGGTACATYCACACTTTATTCCAACTTTTGTATTGCAGATGTCCTGGCTGCGAGCATTGTGTCGAGCAATTTAATGTGAATTGGTTATCACTGAAATATTGTACTGAGTTTGKGCAACTTTTATATGAAAATCATCGTCCTAAGCAGAGGTGTGGCTTCAAAATGTGCTAAGCTTGACCTTTTCTTTTTCTTTTATTTTCCACCTAGGTATCACATGCTGTTGCAAAGCTAGTATTAGTTAGTTTCCACTGGCAAATCTCAGAGATTTTGGAAAGGTAAGTGTAAATAGTCTTATCTCTTCTGTGCTCAGTGCTTTCTCTCCTGGCTTTGCAGAAATACTCGGGGTCCTCCATAAGTGTATTTTTGGCTAGTGTCTTTGGACCTGAAAGCAGAACACACAGTCCATTTCAGGGAGYTGAGGAAAACCACCGGTTTGTTGAGGCTGCACTGCCTGTAAGGARTTTGTAAGCAGGGAGAGGGTAGTAACAGTGACTGTCTTTCAGTTCAGGAATTACTGTTATGCTAGGAACCCTGTAGATAGATTTGTCTTAAATTTAGAGATCACACACTGAGAGTGCTGCATCTATATTTATTTAAAAGACAAAGATAGCATATGTTCTGCTTTAAACATAGGAGCCATAAGTCATAAAGGAGCACTGCCCYTATATTGATGTAATCTTTAGTAGTACATTCACATTGAAGTTTTTGTTCCTTTTTACGTTAAGTGATGGTTTTTTCCCAAGCTGAGCTGCGTTTGGAGTGAGAGAACTGAGCACTGCAGCTCCCTCGTTTGGTCGGTGTCACTGTAACAAAGCCCTCCAACTGATTTCAGAAAGAGGGTTCTGACTCTGCACAAACGTATGCAGGAAGTGTATTGGGAGGCTCTGCTGGCTGGCAGCCCCTCCACAAAATACTGGCTCAGAACTGAACATTGTCTGAAAATAGAGAGCATATTGGCTTKACTCATTCTGCCCTGACATTTTTGGCCCTGTAGCCAGCAACTTCATCCAGAGAAGGTATGGAAAATGCATCTTGTGTATGGATGCTATTGCCTCCTTTGTTACCCTGTATCCTATGAAAGCTTTTCTTTGGCGTTCAAGGAGCATGAGATTCCTGCATAGCAGCTCAGGGTGATTATGCAGGTTAACTGATGAGACTTTAGGCAAGAGAAAATTTGGGGAAGAGTTTAGAGCAATGACTTTGCAAGCTCTTCTCCAGCTGATCTAGTCCTTAAACTTCTCTGTTGGTGCAAAATAACATCAAGTGAAAGTTCACTAGAACAAATGAGAAGTGATGGTGAGGAGGGGGGACTTACAACAAAACCACAACAGTGATGCTGCTRTTTCTGGATTCATTGAGATATAAATATTYCTCTGCAAAGGAAATCACAAACAACAAAATACATTTAATTCCATGGCTGCTGATAGACAGCTTTATATGCCTACAGGGTGATAATCTGTCACAGAGGAAATGCTTAACTAGACAATAATATGGAGTTCAAGTGAGACTTAACCAGGACAGCTTGATTTTGCAGAGGAATAGCAGACAGACGAGAGCCTCACTGGTGTGTTTGATTGTGGACAGTGGCTTGGGATTGCTCTAGGATCTTAGCTTAAAAATAACTTTTCAGGGGAGGGAGATAGTTGTAGAAAAATATTCATCAAAAATGTGAGGAAAATGTTAATCCATTACTAGGAGAAGTATTATTTCTGTTTCTGAGGAAATTCTCATAAAGTTTTGTTGATGAGAGCTCAATTCTATGAATGAGCCTCACACAGGACACATTTCCACTTTCCTTATTGAAACCTACCCTACCGTTTGCACAGAGCCAACTGTTTATTCAGGTGAGAAGGATCAATTTAAGAATGCAAAATGTGTTCAGAAATTGATTTGATCATTCTTCAATTGCCTTTTCAGGCACAAGTCTAATGCTGCCCAATTGCTAGTAGAAGCACGAGTTCAGCCCACCTCAGTCAAACATGTAAGTATGYGAACTATCCCGTCTGTTCCCTTGGCAGACACCTCTGACCCCCTCATGGGGGATTGCATTACTACTGGCACAGCCTGTCCCATGTTAACCCTTTGCAAACTCAGGTCTGACACCTGATTCATTGCTGGGTTTACTTCTGAAATGAGAATGCGTTCAAGAGGTCTCTAATATTTGAGTGGCAGCTTTGCTGTTGGCTTGCAGGTAGTGTTCAAGAATTACTTTCTTCAAGAAAATTAGCATCATTTTTGGCATGAGTGATAGCACACAATGGAAGGAGCAGAGTGCACAGGCTTGGCTGCCTCTTCCAATTCTGTTCTCTGTAAAAGACTCTGAAAGGAAGTTCTGGCTGCTCAGAGTGAGCAGAACTTGTCTGTGTCTGGAGCAGATTTTTAAAAAATATTTTATCTTTTACTCAAGATGATTATTTGCRCTGCTCAGCTCAGGGATGCTTAAGCTAAATCTCCCAGTGACTTGTGTTGCTGCTGACTCAGTCAGTGCTGATATTTAAACCAACAACTTGTGTTTTGTAGCCAGGGCTACACAGATCTTCAGATACTTTCCCCCTCCCATCTTTAAATAGAAACTTCCTGTTGCATGTTTATAGATTTCATTCACAGTGGGTGTCTCGGTACAATGCAGAATTACCCTAGGAACACATTGCCATGTGTCAGATTTTGAGTGATAAAATACTGCATCTGGGAAGCACTCTGGGTTGTGGAGGAGAGGAGGTTTTAAAAGCCAGATTTGGCATCTGATCTGTCTTGTAACTAGAAGATAGTGAAAAAGCTAAGTTGACAGGAGTGTAAGTTTCATGGGCTCAAATTACCTGCCTAAAGTCCAGAAGAAAATATCTTTGTTATTTGACATATCTACAAATTAATCCATGTATTTCAAGACTTATCTGAGTTTTGTATCAGCTGTCACTTAAGTATTCCCCGTGCAGTGGGCCATTCCAACCTCCTTGGCAGGAGAGGTGGAGACCACTGGCACATCATTTCAGTCATGGTCCAGTCAGGGTTTGGATCAAACACTTTCACAACTTTAATTTGTAGTTATTTTATATTTTGCTCTGAGGAGGTAGGAAGTGGTATAGGAATCTTTTTCACCCAGTGTAGCAACCCAARACAATACTTGAGGCAAACTTCTATGCATACTGCAAAACTGAGACAAAACATTACAAATATAAACATCACAAAACTACTGAGACAAAATACATGCAAATAATTGTTACAATGAAGGACAGTGTAACGCTCCAGTCCTGCTACCACTTCATCTTCTCATGGCCCCACCATCTTCTCATGAAATACCTGTAAAAGGAGAGAGAAAACTCAGTCCAGCTTATGGTTTTAAAAAGAAAGGACTCTCCATATGGTGTTGATTTTATGTTCTCTGCCATGGGCATCTGTGGCTACCCATGTGTTCCCTGTGCCCTTTGGATGGCAGTCGGACTTTTTGCAACAAATCCTACCTGTCTGCCATAGGATGCCAAGTGCCCCCACGTAAGACCAGGTCCACAAATTTCTCAGGAGGCTGAATATCAGTCTTTTATTTACAAACTGGGGACCATAAAGGACTTGGCAAATATTAAAGCAACATCCAAGTAAAGCATGGCAAGACACTGACTTAAACTCTAATCCATCCAGATTTTGAGAAAAGGAAGTTAGGAGAAGAAAAAAAAAAAAGAAGAGAGAGATAAATAGTCACCACCTTGGATCCAGTGCAGTCTTGGCTGCTCTAAGGTCCAAGGCACTGGGACTCATCAGGGCTTACACACCCTCATCATGGCCTTTTATCTGTTCTGAGTCCTCCCCACAGATGGGACCTTCAGTGTTCCAGTGGCTTGGTACCCACTTTGGGCTTGGACCAGAGGCTCCAGGCTCCAGTGCATGGTGGGATGTGGAGCAATGACCACCCCACCTTCSCAGAACTTGTCCTGCCCCCACCCAAACACACACGTCAGTTGTTTTGAGCCATTAATCATTTCTCCAGTCTCCTACAAACAATCCTACTTTAGGAAGAAAGATATTATGGTTAAAAGGCTATTTTAAACTTCATTTGGTAGGCAATTTGTATGTCTGTGTGTGCTAGGGCAAGCTGCTCTGTGCTTCGGCTTGTAATGCAGAATGATTATATTTTTGAGGACAGATGCTTATAGTGAGTGTCTGTAGAGGGAGTGACCCCAAAGAGAGAAGCTGTAGGGTGAGCTCAGAGAGGCACATCTGTTGTTCAGGTTGAGCAACTGATCCAGGCAATCAGTGCAATTGCAGACTCAGTGAATCTTGTTCTGGGCCATAAATGAGGCCACTTAGAACAMATTTGCATTATTTCCTCTTTCATGTGGCCATGCCATAAATCAAGCTCTGTCAGTTATGTGGCTGCATATCATGGTGCTGCTGCTCTGTGTCTYTGGCATGCAGAGATAGGCATGGAAACCAAYRGCAGGCCCACAAGCTTCTCCACAAGTAGCAAAGTRGATGAAAAGTGATTATATGACTTCTCTGTGAAAGGAGAAACTGGAACATAAACTCCTGCTGACCGTTTTGTAGAGCCTTGGTTTTGATGATGCTGGGCTTGACCYAGTTCTGCAGGTCCCAGGGGTGAACAGAGATGTGTCGAAGGCTGGATCTGCTGTCTGGGAATCAGCTCTGCACTGCACAGAGGGAAACCRGACTATGTTCAGTGTTTTGGTGAAGCAACAGCAGTTATGCCTGATTTGATGCTAACCCTCTTAATCCTTTTCAGCTGAAGGGATGATGCCTGTTTTGCCMAATGTAACATAGGCAGAAGATAAGAGCTGGGAGGTGATAGTTTGTGAATTCCCTTTCCTCCCTGTATAAACACTCTACATGCTGCACCTTCAATTGCRTCTCCCATTACCCAAAATTACTGTCCAGTAAAAGGGCATTGCTAAGTCTGTTTGCAGCGACAGCTGCTCTCCAGAGCCTATGAAGATAGTCTGGCCCAGCTAACAAAGAATATCAGTAAATCCAGGGAAGGACTAACAYGATGTATTTCAAACAAGGTGAGAGTAAGAACCAGAAAAGTAAAGGTGAGTTCTGGGCAGCCCTAGAGGAGAGGCAGAAATTKTTCAATAGCTGTCAACCTGTTGTGCTCTGTGAGATTAAAGAGGTTCTTGAGAAGGACTGACTGGGTCAGCACACCAGCTGCTTAGGAACCTGTTCTGGCCTGGAGCTCCTCAGAGACCATTGTCACAGTGAGGGTGATGCAAGTGTCTGTGGATGAGCTGAAAATGCTCTGGGAGAGCTGGGGTGCTTTCACTATACTGCTGGTTTGTCTCTCTCCCAGGCAATGGTACATTCCTCCCACCACTGCGCAGTGTGCATGCAGTTTGTCCGGAAGGAGAACTTGCTCTCTCTGGCTTGTCAGCACCAGTTCTGTCGCAGCTGCTGGGAGCAGCACTGTACAGTCCTCGTCAAGGATGGTGTTGGAGTCGGTGAGTTCAAGGTGGATGCGGTGCTGGATCTGTATTTGTGGTGCTGGATCTGTATTTGCCCCACTGGCCATTCTGATGAGTCAAGAACATGACTGTAACAAGTTAGAAACTGCAAATCTGTTGAATCGAATTGCATCTTTGATGATGTACTGTTGTAATGCCCCTGGAGTGCTTGTGGATGCAAACATCTGTTCCCTTTGTGTTGGGGAGTAGTTCCAGAGTTGCTTTGGGCTTTTCCTAGCCTGTCTTTCATGTTGGTGTRGCAGTAACAGACAATTTTCTAATTTAAGTATCTGACCTTGTGAATACTGGTTGAAGCACCCACTGGTCCTGGACACATGTGCCCTGGTTTTTTTTGTGAAGACAGTTGGGCTTCAGCTTTTCAGCAGCCCAGATTTGTTTCACAGTTGTGTCCTTCCTGCCACAACAACAGATGGCACTGAGGAAACTATGTTGAATGCTCTGTGCATTCACCCCTTAGTATAAACTGCAGTTTGCTAAAATGCTGTTTTCTCAGGGGTGTCCTGCATGGCTCAGGACTGTCTGCTCCGGACACCAGAAGATTTTGTGTTTCCATTGCTGCCTAGCGAAGAGCTGAAAGACAAATACAGGCGCTACCTCTTCAGGGACTATGTAGAGGTAGTTGTTTTTTTCTGTTTTAAAATACYCTGGGTCAAGTCACCAATGACTTGCAGAAATTTTGTTTGAAGTGTCTTGCATTTTTGATTAGAACTGCAGTAACTGCAGCAAAATTKTCCTCAATAGACATGATGTGGCTGCTCCTGTAGGACAGCCTCACTGACAAAATGCTCTAGCAGATTGCCAAAGTAAATTCTGCTGTAAGGTCATCCTGTAACTCYCTGGCTTCAGAATTCTCAGAGTGTTGCAGCTGAAAATTTCAGAACTTCAATCTGATTATTTGAGTCCTTCATGTTCTTACATAAATATTTTTATATTCAGAAAAATAGGTCCCTCAACTTAGGGTAACCCAGCTGAATTGGCTTAATCGGTTACATTTTATGTGAGCTTTTTAGAAATTAAAGTAGCAGTTGTAAAGGTTAAATATTTAGGAGTATTCTGGTAACTGGAAACAGGCAGGGAACACTCAAAAAGCAGCAAAGCAGTATGAAAGAGTGGTGTCACCTCTTCACAATAAAGAGACCCTTCGGGAAGGAATGGCCACCACAGGAGAGCAGCTGAATAGATTCTGGGTCATAAGGAGCAGGTGGCAAAGGAGCTCAAATAGAGTAAAATAATTTGTTTAGTGTCTTTGTGGGGTCTTGTTTGTAACCCTCCATTTGAATTCCCTGCTCTAAAGAAGCCATACATAACTAACAGAGGTCTTTTATATTASGAAAGGGAGAATCTGCTCTGATACCCAACACCTGATGACACTTTCAACTCTTTCTCTATAAGAAATAACTGGCTTGTATGTTTTTGAAGATAGAAGCGGTTAAAGTTGAACACATAATGCTCTATGCCCACTGCTGATTTTACTCCCTTGGTGTGTCCACAGAGCCATTACCAGCTGCAGCTGTGTCCTGGTGCAGATTGCCCTATGGTCATACAGGTACAAGAGCCAAAAGCCCGGCGAGTGCAGTGCAATCGTTGCAATGAGGTCTTCTGGTAAGAAACAGAGAAGGTTACAGATCACAGGGGAGTGTGTGCTGTCCTCAGAGCCACTCCTTTTGCTTGCCAGCAGTTTTGGTGTGTAGAAGGATCTGAAATGCTTTGCTAGAGTTGTTTGTAACTTGAGTGGGCCTRAGTAATTGGACACTGGTGATTTGACTTCTGCAGGTGGTCAGATGTCCCCTTGCTCCCTAAACTCCTGGGAACCTGGGTGTTCTGACAAGCGGGGARTGCTGAGCTTGACTAATCAAGGGGTTACAAATTACCATTCTCACATTTTGACTAGATTAAAAATTTTCCTACAGATACAGTGACTGATCTAGATTCTGGTAGTAAACATGGAGTCCTCCTTGCTGTCTGCTGGTGTTGAGTTTTAAAGTTTATTAAAGGCATTGGGCTCCCARTTCAGAGACCCAGCTTTCTGGTATCTCCCTGCAAATGGCCCTTATTCACCTGAAGCTGTCAGGTCATGCTAGTGCAGGTGCCTGATATTTGCCACTGGAGTCAGTCTACTTGTGACTGGTCTGTCCCAGAGCTCTGAAGTCATGTTAGAGGAGACACAGGTGGGCTCTAGGAAGGGACGTGTCAGCCCTCAGACACGTGATTTGTCCGGCCTGGGTTCACTTTCATCCTGCCTCTAGCTTTTATACAAGAGGGGGAGTTGGAGTTCAGTCTTGGTCTTTGCACTCTAGCAATACACAAGAGCATTTGCATCCCTTACTGGGCCCCCCGATTTTGGTCAGGAAATCCTCAATCCTTGAGTCATTTCCTYGGAAATTGATACAAATTTCTCTTTTTTTTCTCCCCCTTATTAAGCTTTAAGTGTCGGCAGATGTACCACGCACCCACGGACTGTGCTACCATTCGGAAATGGCTCACCAAGTGTGCAGATGATTCTGAAACAGCCAACTACATCAGTGCTCACACTAAAGATGTAAGGACAGGCACCTACATGTTATTTATTGTCCTCTAGCCCTGGCTGAAAAGCAGAATATAATYCTATACACACATAGCATTGTGTTCTGCTTTTTCACTGACTTMAAATTCTCACAGCTCCCTAGGGACTGTCAAGAAACTTCTGTCAGAAGCTGCTGTCATATTGAACGAATTATGTCCCTATGGCAGTGATAGAACTCAACTGAATGCTTTGGGAATGCTTTGTGTGGGAAAAGCAGCAAGGTGGTCCTTATTCCAGACCTGGTGTGAATGTCTTTGACAGCCAGGTGTGCTGTCCTCCCACAGGCAAAAGCACTGTGGCTACTTTGAAATTATCCATTAAAATGGAGGGAGAGACTGTCCTAAATGTGAAGTCAGTACCAAATAAGGCATCAATGGTGTTCAAGCCTGAACAACTTAGTGGAGTACTGTGAACTGGAGGGTGAGGGAGATAAAGTCTTGATTTGGCAAGGGGGTAGTTGAAGTGTGTAAATTAGACATTGGGGTACTTCTGGTAGATTTAGACTCAAGACAAAGAAATAGTATCACATATTRTGCGTGCTAGCCTACCTGTAGAATCGTCTTTAATTATAGGTATATTACCTTTATCCTCTAACACAGTCATCTGAGATTGGAACTTTTAATGTCTTTTGGATATTTTGTGAGCTGAATTCAAAATAGTTCTTAGCCACATTTGTGCTATGATGGCCAGTGGCAACTGTGACMGTGCTAATTAGCTGGAAGCTTCCATTGTGTTAGGAAAGGGATAGACCACTAAGGATATCTAAGGGATACAAAGTTCCCTTCCTTCTCTAGAGAAGGTGTCAGCATGGGATGGCATTTTTTCTGTTATGCTTGTTTGTAGAACAAGGTTCTGTTTTATTGAGCGTTGTCCAGGCATACATTTTGTTTGACATGAAWATTTATAAAAAGTAGCAAAACTCACTTACTCTTTTGTATCTGTGCAACCAAAAAATGTATCTGAACGCTCCAGGGTATCTCTGTTCTGGTCTCAGTGTGGTTAGGCAGAGTCCCTGCAGGTAGCTTAGTTGTCATTTGTTAGTGGGTGCTGAAGACAGAATATAGTGACAATTACATGAAGTCAAAGTAGCTATGATAGACTATTAYACATGAACTAATTGTGTCCCTGTGCCTAATTACCTGCAAAGTGGTAACTCAGCAAGGCCTTCAGTTTTATGAGGAGTAATAACAGTAAATTTGTTTTCTTGAGCAAACAGTCCAGTGCTGCAGTGTAACTTCCTGGTTTTGCCTTTCTGCCTGCTTTTAAATGGAACTGTCAGGAGCTAGTGGGAAGCAGAGTATAAATGCTAATATTCTCATATGAGAATATGTYTCATACATGGATGCATATTTTAAAGAAAAAAAGGCAGAGAGGAATAATCACAAGTGCTGTCATTCTTCAGAAGGCTGCTAGAGTTGGATCTAACAATTGCTTCTGTTTCCTCAGTGTCCCAAGTGCAATATCTGTATTGAAAAGAATGGAGGCTGCAATCACATGGTGAGTAATTCCCTGAACATGTCAAACCTCCCTTGTTCTAAGTGGAATTTTTTTCCCACACTTTCTGCTAACCAAGTGCCTCTTGTCTCTTCTTTTTCAGCAATGTTCCAAATGCAAGCATGGTAAGTTGGATTTGGAAGCCGTTTTCTCTGCAATGTTTGTCAATGCTGACAGTCCGTTCTCTATTTTTTTGTGGTATGAAGACAAATTGTGAACATTGGCTGAAATATTTTCCCCCTAGTAAACGCTGAACAGGATATTAATTACAGACTTTGGTGTGATAGCTTTTTTCCCACTGGCTGTGATCTGGGTTGGGTTCTGACCCAGTGCTGGTTTGGCTCCTGCCCCCTGACATGTCCATTGGATAGGGAAGTCTCCAGAATTTTGACAGTGGAATCCATCTCACAGGAGAACTTTCCATGTAATTGTATTTGTAATCAGCTGAAAATACTGTCAAATGTAGCCATTTACCCAGATCAGCTTAAGTCCTGCTTAGTGGTGGAAATAATGAGCTTCAACCCAGATGAAACTGCAGGAGCTGTGAATTGTTGTGTGTAACAGCAGCTGTTGGACTTCTCAGACCACCCCTGTGCAATTAGCAGCCTGAGTGTCTTTGGGCMATTGTGTAGCCCTACAAAATGACAGCCTGTTCTTGCACTTGTCTTTTCATGGCAGAATTAATTTCTGTTGCCTTGGAGTGAGATAGTTGTATTCAGTCATCTGAGTTAAGCGTGCCACTAGAAGCGATTGTAATATCAGAACCTTATTGGGAAGATGATTAAAGATGACTGTCCTCTCTCATTTCCTTTGCTTTGGGATTCTCAGCAGCACTGGACGTGCTTTGATGGAGCTCTGTGACAAGGGGGAGCAGCCAAGTGCCAAAGTACCATGGTGACTTAGCACTCAAGAAGGCTGATGAACTCTGGAAATACAGATTTTGGTCTTGTTATCATAAGTAACACAGAAGAGATTCTTATTGTAGCAACTTAATCTCTGTCTTTTTTCCTTCCCAGCAGAACGCTCACAGCCTTGCTCTGAGATCRCAAAATTGTCAAGTTTTGCTATTTTTGCTATTGCTTTCTTTACTCTGCTTTCTTCCTATTTCAGCAGCTCCTAACTTGAAGTGTCATAAACCACTGACATTTGACATTACCTGGGTATCTCCCTTCTGGAGAGAACTGAGGGCAGACTTTCTCTTGCATGACTTAGTTCCCTTTTGGGTCTGCTTGACTGTGTTTTATTCAGGCAGAGKTTTGCATGGGGCAATGTGCCAGTGGTGGGGAGGGTGCAACTCATGAAAGAGACTTCCAGCCTCTTCTCTAACCCAGTGACAGTAGGTGCAGGGTGCAAGTGCAGCTCTGCCCAGTGGTCTTGGTTTACAAGGATGCAGCACTTCAGGATTTACTTTCCTTRGTTGAGTGAGAGGCTGTGCAATTGAAATCTTCAAGAGAGGCTGATATTTTTGGCTCACTGTTGAGTTCTGTTTTGCAAGATGATATAAAATATGTGTGTTTCTTGGCTTAGCAGAAATATCTGAAAACAGATGGGCTCTGTCTCCTGAAGCTTTTCTTTCTCAGTSTTTTTTCTAAGCATCACAGTGGGTTTTTTGCTGTTTTCTGCAGACTTCTGCTGGATGTGTCTGGGAGACTGGAAGACTCACGGCAGCGAGTACTACGAATGCAGTCGGTACAAAGAGAATCCTGATATTGTAAACCAGAGTCAGCAAGCACAGGCCAGGGAGGCCCTTAAGAAGTACTTGTTCTATTTTGAGAGGGTAGGAGACATCTCCTTGGCCAGAGCTGCTGTAGCCTTTTAATGCTCCCTGCCTGGTGCAAAGGTCATTGCCAGCAATCTCCGTGCAAGAAACTGCCCAAAGAGAATCTGTGCAAAATTTACAGGCCCTGTTGTTTCTCACTCAAAATCTTGCCTTACAAGTCCCATCCCWACCTGTGATGTCATACCCAAAGCAAATTGTATTCACTCCTACATTTCCTTGTGCTAGAGAAAATTGGTATAACCTGTGTGCCACTGTACCGTGTACCTGCAGGCTGAGTGCTGCTGCAGTAGATAGATATTGCTCCAATCATTTTCTTTCAGGACTGGAGAACTGCAGTTCCTGGCAGTAAGTCTTTATACAGACAAAAACTGAATAAAATCTGCTATCTTCAAAGCTCCATTGGCTGTAGCAAAGTTTTACTAAAATTTCATGTAATCCTGTTTCTGAAAGTTGCCATCAGAGCATCTCTGTCCACACAGCAGGCTCCATGCACCTGGCCATGCAGAGCAACTCTACAGCAGCCTCTCTAGAAGAGAATGTGGTAGAGGTTAAATACTGCTGCKTTTCAGTTTCCCCATTAAAATGAGTTTATTCTTCACAGTGTGAGCCAAGTCCTGTCGTAAAATAAATGTCTTCATTCCTGGCTCTCCAGACCAACAGGCTTTGGGAAATAGCCATGTTTACAATGTGCACATGGATGTTGGAGCTCACTGAGCCCAAGTCAAATGTTAATTTAAACTCATGACCTTCCTATAGAAATCTTTTAAGTGGAGAAATCACCATGACTTCCCCTCTTGTTATACACAAGGTCACTGTGTGACCAGAGAGCATTCCCATTTGGAGGAACTGGGTTTGCTCCCTGCTCTTGCTGCTGTCMGTCTGTTGTCTACAGCCTCCACCACTTGCTGCTGGAGGTGCTGCCTTGCCATTCTTTCCCATAGCATGTCTTGCCTTGCTGGACTCCTGCCCCACTCCAATTTCTGCTTGCTAGAGCTTGTGCTTTTACAGCAGTAGTACTCTATTCTCATGCCATTTTTTTTCTTTCCCTATCTCCCCACCCCTTRCAGTGGGAGAATCACAATAAAAGCTTACAGCTGGAGGCACAAACATACCAACGAATCCAGGAGAAAATCCAAGAAAGAGTTATGAACAACTTGGGAACATGGATAGACTGGCAATACCTACAAAATGCTGCAAAACTACTTGCAAAGGTGGGTAATTGTGTCTTGTTTGGCACAGAGTATACGTGCCAGAATGCTAAATTCATAACACCAAGTAAGGAAGGAAATCTAAGAGTTGTGGTTATGTGGGACAGTTATGTCCTCTGGTCTAGGACATGGACTAACCAAAAATCATCTCAAGTGACCTCTACTAAGTTATACTCCACAATATACAGAGCTGCACAAGTTCTTTCAGGGAAGGTGTGGGAAATTCCATCATGAAGTGTCCAGTTGTCCATGTCAGGCATCTTTGCCTGTAGTGATCAYATAAATGTGACTGTGCTGACTGAATCTCTCTCTCTTCCTCCCACTCCTGGACAGTGTCGCTATACCCTGCAGTACACATATCCATATGCCTACTACATGGAGTCTGGTCCCAGAAAGAAGCTGGTAAGATGTTCTGCTCTGTTTTGCTGATAACTGTTTGGGGTGTAACTGACAGCATGGTGGGCTGAATTCCAGAGCTAGGCAGTGTCTGAAATATTAGTCCTGAGATGGAGGTAAGGACAGGATAAATAGGTGGGTTTGCACCTTGCCTCTTCACTTCAAGTCGACCAGCAGCCCTGTCCTCTGAGGCATTATGTTGTTTTCCCAGGGGACTTCATTGCACTTCCACTAACAAGCCATTTATCCAGAATATTTTGAGGCTGGAAATGTGCCTTTATTCCATGGTAAGATTTATCACRAAGCTATGGGCCATATTTCATGTGAAGAGCTAGTGGAGGAGAGCTTTTTCAGCCTAGGATCAGGGTTTAGCTTTGCTTTTTATTCCTGGTGTAAGTTYCTTGCTGGCTTGGTGCATCTCATGGGCTGAGCAAGTAGGAAAACAGCCTTGAATTCAGTGAAGGATTTGGTTTTTTTTTTTACTCAGTTGTCCTGTAAAACCTGTTACAGAATCTTTCTTCATGGCATCATATGTTSTCCAAGGCTGTGGATGGATGTTCTCTTCTGGATCTGACTGTGCCAGTGGAACAAGTTAGTGCTCCCAGCAGTGGTTAACAATTCCTCCACTCTGCCTGCGGAGCTGCTTATGGGAGCACTTTGTGACTTGTTTATGGCAAAATAAGCTGAGTTAGGAGATATTTGTCACTTGCAGTGTTTTTAGGCTGACTGGGTTAATTTTGAATGATGCAGGTTGTGGAGTGCTTTCAAAACAAGCTCCCAGAAGGGGTGATGCCATCTATGTGAAGGTGGATAAGCAGACACAAACCCGCTCTGCCAGCACTGCTGTCAGYACAATGCATTTGTCTGCTCTTCAAGTGTAGTGTGTGGTATGAAACTGCTCTGCTAAACTAGTTTCTTGTTGCTGTCTCTAATTTTRCTCTTTGCAGTTTGAATACCAGCAGGCCCAGCTGGAAGCTGAAATTGAAAATCTCTCATGGAAGGTGGAGCGAGCAGACAGCTATGACAGAGGGGTGAGTGTTCTGCTTGCTTGAGTTTGGTGGCCAGATTTTGTTTGTTGGGCTTAACACTTCTGCAGGAGCACTAAGGCAATCAAGTGAGGGTTCTGAGAAACCAGATCCAGAAACCATCTGTAGCCAGCAGATATTGTAGAAGCAGAGTGCTCACTGCCTTGTGAGAGAGGAGGGAGGGCTGCAGGGATTCCTGCAAAATGAAACAGGTGCCACAGAGCTCTGGAGGAGACTGCACGCAGCCCTCTGGTGAAAAGCAGACTCTTTAAGTGTTCATTTTAGAGCAAGAGCTGGGTAACTGCAGAGGGAGCCCMCTTAAAAAGGAAGAGGGTCTGGGATCTTGTAATCCAGAGTGTGCATGAATTGTGTGATGGTTAGTGCTTCTCAGGCTGGAGTTCAGTGTCTCCCTAAGGAAAATGAGGTCTTCTCCAATCAAGTTTCTGCTAACAGTTTGTACCTTCTCTTTTACCAGGACTTAGAGAATCAGATGCACATAGCAGAGCAGAGACGGAGGACCCTGCTGAAAGACTTCCATGACACATAAGAGAGGAGGAAGTGACAGTGCAGGGGTGAGAGCAGCGAGTGAAGTGATGGCAGCTTCACTGGGATAAGCAGGCACTGCCTCTGGGAGAACACGGCCAAGGACAAAGCCACCCCTCCCCTTGCAAGTCAGACACATGCAAACACCACCTCTTAGTCCAGTTTGTTCTCTTATMTTTCTGTTTCTGTTTCTGCCAGGCTAGAGGCCAGAGCTCAGATTGGCATATTACCTGGGCCATTTCCCTCCTGCCCTTGATGGTTTCAGAAGGGGAGGGAGTTTTTTTCTGAATGGCTGTTAATAGTATTAGGTCATTACAGTTTATGTAATTTTCAACGGTTGTACAATTATACAGACAAACCTTAGAATAACACACAACCCTTTTTAAAAATAAATTGGCAGTGGAGTGTTTTTCCTTAATCTGCTTGTAAATTTAATGGGCTTTTCCCCCTCTCCCTCTCCCTTCCTCTGACCCAAAATCCTCCTAGACACTGAAGGAGGTTACAAAATATCTCAGCTAGATTTTCCGATGCTCTTTTAACCAGAGCATKGCTGCATTGGCATTGCATGAGGAGAGTGGCTGTTAAGGGTGGCTGCTGCTGTGTCTGGCCCGACAGTACCGGCAGTGGCCGTGATTCAATATGATCATATGTGACATCTCCTTTTCTTGTAAATCAGCTGTGCAAAATCCAGCTACACAAACAAAAGCAAACAGAGGAATTGCAGAGGACAGACCAGGTTRACACCGGGGGATATGCCTTGAGTTTGAGAGAAATTGAGAGAAATCAGATTCTGCATTTGATGAATTTTAGGTCTTCCATGTAGATTTTTGCTTTACTTGTTTTTGTGGGGAGGATGTTGTATTGCCAAAGTGAGTGATGAGGGASTAGTAGCATACAGTTGTTAATCAAGGCTTGGGGCTTTTGCAGAGTGAAAGAATCCATGTTATAACAGTGCCATGCAGCCTGATAAAGATTATTTGTGCCTGCTGGGTAGCRTGGCTGAGAAAATTTGATCTCATTCATCAAAGTGAGACTAAACACCACTAAGGGGCAAAGATTATGTACAACACACTCCCTGGCACGTGTTGGCAATGTGGACGAGCACTTGAATACAGGTGCACTGCTTGTGCAGAGCCTGCACCAAGCCAGGCAGAAAATTAACTAGCAAAATTAATTTATTTGTATATTAGTATTGATGCTGGTGGGAACTTATCAGAAAATTGATTGTTAGGAGCATGTGGAGCTTTTTTATTAACATTCTCTTTTCTAATGTAAAATATACACGAAAATAAAAATATGAAAACCTAGTTCATCTTAGTAGGGGTTAACATGAAAAAGGTTACTTAAATACTGATTTTTGTTTGTTCACTGCAGGAAGCAGGCCACATGTTAGGATTTCACAGATATCTGTGTCACCTGCACCAGGAGTTTCTTGTTTGCAGCCAGTAAAGGTGCAGCTGGAGTCTGATCTGAGGAAATTTTCACCTCGGTGGGGAACTCATGGGATTTTCTTCCATGCTGTATTTGGAAGTGTTGCCTTTGATGCATCCCTGTATTGTTCTTATGCAATGTCACTTGATAAACAAGTTGGGGGGGAAAGTGCTAAATTTCTGCATGTCGGAATAAGCTAACTCTGCTCTTGGAGCCTCTTTCATGTACCTGAGACATGTGACCCAGGTATTTGCAGCCGGTGTAATTGGGCTTATAGGTTTTATCAAGACTGATGCATTAGTTTAAACAAGGAGTAGCTGTCACAGGAGCTAATCCTGTGGCCATGCTTGTTGTGCACAACAGAAAACTTCAAACTGAGAGGCCTTTTCCTTCCTTATTCCTGCCCCTGGTGTGGRATCTGTCCTCAGGGAACAGGGGAGTGTACTGCGACGAGCTGCTGGCTGTGGAGTGAATGTTACAGCAGAAGCAGCTGAGGGTAGGGCAAGCTTGTGGGGAGATGACTGGAGCCAGGGAGCAGGGCAGGAGAGGAGTCTGTGGTTTCTGGGAGCAGTGTTGCTTGCTGTGCAAGAGATCTCCACAGCCATGGCTCCTTGTGTTCCCGCTCTGTCCTGTTCTGCCTCCCCTCCAGACTGGAGCCATAGAGATAGATGGGACCTTGCTCCAGCCACTCTCTTAACTTCATTCATTACTCTGCACCCAGCAGCAGCTTCTTTGTGCCCTCCTCATGATATATCCTAGAGGTTAGTCTCTTCCTCTCCCCTTTCCAAATGATTGTCCAAGTTTTGGCATGCTGCTTCCATTGGAAAGGATATTGGAGGGGGGAAGATTTGCTGAAACCCAGCAGTTTGCAGTGAATACTACCAATGTTTAAAGTGTTCTTTAAAAAATGTGATGTGCAAAGTATTGATTAGGACAAAAGCTGGTGTTCTTGTTGTCTAAACATAACTATCTTAACACCTAATCTCTTTGCAGAACAGGTATGTGGAATTTGCAAATCCCAAAGAATTTTCACTTCTCTTACGTAATTGTCCAGCTTTGAGCTAAATGAGAATGAGGTTTTGTCTCGCTCCCTCCAAACCTCCTTCCCTCCCTCCCTCCCTCTTCTATGCCCCCACAAAATATTTTACTGTGAATCCTTGTTTACAGACAAGCCAGACTATATAGCTGTGGCCAGACTTACTGAACAGGCTGCTGAGATGCTTGGCTGAGGAACAGTAATTAAGATTGCACAGTGCCCCCACTAATTCTTTCAAATTTTCTGGAACTAGAGCTTTGTCAACAGTTCCATTTATTTTTAAACAAAACAAAACATCCTTTCTGAAAGTGGTGAAAGTCCTGGATTGCCCCCACAGATCCTATTGCTATACTCTGGGAAAACAACTGGACTTGCTTTAGCAGCCTAGGCAGGTTCACTTCTGTATTGGTGTTGTACAGAAAATCATAGATTTCAAAGACAAAATGTGCAGGGCACAGGGCTCTGCATRTAAGGTGAATGACACTGCTTAGGAGGCAGATGACAGGAATGAAATGGGGGTTCTCAATACCAAAAGAAAAGGCCATTTTCCCCCCTCTTAGTAAGTACATGACCCTCTTTGAGTCAGCAAGGTTACATGGATGTAGGTGAATAAAAAGTGGCTCAGGAGCCATTAATTCTGAGGTAGAAGTTTCCCATTGATGCGTTATTGYTACAGATATGGAATGTTTGCTCTCTTTTTTCTTTTTTGCACTTGTTTCCAGCTCCTGCGCCAGCCCGACACCTCTCCATCCTTGCATCCAGTACTCTTTTATTTGGGCTTCGCTTGTGTTAGTGCATTGGCTGCCTCATCTCTATTCGTCCTCAGGCTTCCCAGACTGTAACAAAACGTTTTCTACTGACACCATAAACTGCATGACTGCTGCCCTGCGCAGCGAAGTCGCTGTGCCCGCCCACAGGTCGGGGCAGCAGGAGGTTTCTGTACTATAGTCTTGCACTCTAAATTTTAGACTTTTTAAGCAGGTGAAAAATAGAACTTTATTTTTAAATGAGGCACTTGTTCTGGGAATTCCTTTCTCGGCCCCGGTCTGGTTGGGGCTGTGGGACAGCGTTGAGGTGTGTGGGAGGGCACTGCACTGCTCCCACCCCTCGCTTTTCTTCGCAGGCACCGGAGGGGGGCAGGGGCGGYGGAAACCGCCCGGGAGACGGTTGCCAGAGGTGTGCCCGTGGTTTATTTGAAATAAATTGTGACTTTCTAACTTGGGCGGTGTCCTGGCTCTTTTTAGCAGCGGGATGGGAGGGGCGGGGGGAGCTGGTGTCGCTGTGTCGCTTCGCTGTCCCCGCCCCGCGGTGACGCAGCGCCCGCCGRGCCGTTGCCGTGGTGACGCGGGGCCGGGCGGGCCGGGGCGATGGCGGCGGCGGAGACGCCGGCCGAGGGGCCCCCGCTGCCCGGCCCGCCGGGGGGCCGCCCGCGGCCCGTCTGCTCCCGCCCCTACTTTCTCGTCCTCATGGTCTTCGCGCACCTCTACGTCCTCAACGTCTTGGGGCTGCTGCTCTTCGTGCACCTCAGCGCCGGCGAGCCCGGCGGGCCGCCCGCCACCCCACAGCCGCCGCCGCCGCCGCCCGCCCGCGCCCTCCCGCGCCTCGAGGGCATCAAGGCAAGGCCGYGACCGGGGGCCGGGACCGGGRCCGGGACCGGGACCGCTGACCACTGACCGCTGCTCTCCCCGCAGGTGGGCCACACGCAGCGGGTGGAGCTGGTGCCCGGCAGGGCCCACGCCGTGCGCACCCTCAGCCTCAAGCCGCTCCTGTTCGGTGAGTACCGGCCCCGCCGGGAGCGGCTCTGCCGGGCCCGGGCACGCCGGTAGCGGGGGGGTTTCCGCCCTGACGGCGGAGCGGGGGGGAAATGTGTGCGTGTCTGTCTGACACCCGCCGCTGTCTTACACCCACGGGGGGGAAGATGACTTCCTGCGTGTTGGCATCACCTCCCTGTGCTGCTGCACCTTGGGGCTGCGTTAAAAAGAATGTGGTATCGTTTAAGGTATTTTGATGAAAAATTTGCTGAGGTTACTTGTTCTGGATGGCCYACTTTGAAGAATTTGGAAGATTAACCTTTCCAGGTTTTTCAGATTCCCTGTAAAAATACCAGGAGTAGACAGCAGATCACTGGCGAGAACCTTGGAGAAGCTGTTCAGTATAAGGAAAGGACGAGAGATACCCAAACTTTTGTTAATAAATTATGAAAAAGCAATTTAGTGTTGGTGTTTCAGCGCTGAGGAAATGAGTGATAGGAGAATTGATAGATTAATGTCTTCCACCATTTTGTGTGTCCTGTTCTAGATTTATCTTTATTTTTGGCTGCTCTGATATACAACCACACAACATCTGCCTTTCAGATATTTCAAAATCTTCTTTACCTTTTGGTGATATTTTGCTGTCACTGGTAAAGTCTCACTAATTGAACTCTGTGTTCTGGAAATCCACTGTCAATATGCAATTAAAGTCTCATTAATTGAACTCTGTGTTCTGGAAATCCACTGACAATATGCAATTAAAGTCTCATTAATTGAACTCTGTGTTCTGGAAATCCACTGACAATATGCAATATGCTAAGAAATTTGGGAGGAGACCAACCATTACAAAATTCCTACTCCTGCAAAATCAGAGAAAACCTGTTGTCTCTGAAAAGACAGCAAAGCGAATTTTTCAGATGCTTTCTCAATAATATGTATGGAAGGTTTTTTCTGATTCCAAATAGAATGTACACTGTAAACCTCACCATTAATTTMTTAATGGATTTCTGTCTCACATTCACTAAACAGACAAACCAACCTGGAACTGATAACCCYACAGTACCACAAAACTGATGTCATTACCAGAATCACGATCTAAGGATATCACTGTTGTTTTCACTCAGGAAAATTCCTGTTTCCTCCTTCCCTGCATTTCCAGTACCACTGAAGTGAAACGGTTGGTCCTGGCCTGCAAGGAAAGTGCYGAAGATGATAAAAGGCAGGTTTGTCCTGGCAGCAGTAATCCTGCAGTTTTTAGCTTCTTGCTTCAGCACTTCCATTGGTTTTGAGGGAAGCTTTGCTCCCTGAGGATGCCATTACAGATAGTGAGAGGCATTCACCATTTGAGATGCCATAAGCCTGTTCTTTGTCCTCAGATAAAGAGTCCCTTATTTAGAAACTGCAAGTTGCAAGACAATTCTTATCTCCCGGATGAACCTGCCAGGAGCCAGCTCTGACTTTAAAGACTTCCAGAGACTTCTCTATCTATGCAAGCAGTACCAACCTAATTCAACTGATTTTTAAAAACCTAATTTATTCAACCTCTGTTGCTTAAATTAGTGGAAGTATGTATTTAACTTGGTTGTGTTTGATAAACACAAAAGTCCTTAGCAACGACTCTTGAGTTTCTGGGGATTTAACACAAAGTGCTGCAGCCTGCCATAGCCAGTTTAAGGAAACAGCGCCTGGTCTGTCATCTTTGCTTTGAGTAGAGCAGGCTGCAGTGGGACCACAGCAGCAGACACTCATGAATGATTTMATGTGTTCCCTGGGCTTCGGAGCATGGGGTGGGAGCCGTAGGGGAACTTTAGGTTTGTTTTTTAAAATGTGGGTAAGTCACATCTGCATGGAACCCAAGCGTATTTTATGGAGCTATGAAAAAATCCCTGCCCTATTTTTCCCCCCCTCTGGCTATAAGGCATCATTTCTAAAGCTTGTAAGTCAGACCATCTGTGCAGTTTTCAGTTGGGAAACACTAGTAATCAAATAGCCCTACTAATGGAAAACAAATCAGACAAAGCCTTTTCAACCTTCAKAGCTTTTATGTGTTCTGTTGCGTTTTCCAAATGCAGTCTGATCAGAAGATACTGCCATTACAGGGACCACCTGACAGCAGATTCTGTGGATTGGGCAGCAGTTTCTAAGATGAGACAGTGGGGAGGAATAAAAATAGGAAATTTCACTGTGTTTTTCTTCTGAGCCTCGGGGAAGAGAAGTAATCACTGCACAAATGTCAGGGCACAGCTGAATTACAGTGTGTGTGTCTGAGCACTCATTTCAGCCCACACCAGAGTGAGGAGGAGCCCACAGCATGGGTTGTTGGTTTGCTTTTCGAGCACAGGGAGGCAATGTATCTCCAGCAGACCRATGTGTCTCCAGCAGACCTTGGTGTCTGCACAGCCAGCACTGCAGGCTTCACCAACAAGACAGAAAGTATTCCTTCCAAAGGCTGGTTTTTCCTCTTTGTTTTTTTGTTTTTTTGTTTTTTTTGTTTTTAAATTTCAGCCCCAGGTTCAAGCTAATATAGAAAATTTTCCATGGACAGYGCTTTGTTAGGTGGTAGAAATCCAACTCGTTTTCTCCTTTGGGGATTTGCTGTTTTCTACTCTGTGATCTGGAGCACAGTGAATAYCCAGCACAGTGTATATCCAGGGAGTGACAGTCCTGTTTGGGTGAGAGAGTGAGCTGCAGAGAACTTGGTGGGACTGAATTTTCCCATATTTTCTATCTTCTTTATGTACAGGTAGAAGGCCAGGCAGCTGTGGAAGGTTTCTCCCCTTCTCTCATATCAGAACTGCAATATCCTGCAGTGCTGGGGCTGGGACACCTCCCAGTCCCAAGCAAAGCTGCTGTTCACACCAAAGCAGAGCTTTGAACAGCTGATRTCTCACTCATGCTCTGCTTTTTCTCAAGGTTCTTGTGATATCCCCAGAATCTTCTGATCAACACTGAATTTCTGATGCTGAAAAATGTTTTTCCGTGTTATGCAGAARCCCTGAGCTATCTGCTCTGTGCCTTTCCTACTTGAGAATGGCTGTTTCCTTTCACATGTGTGAAAGTGCAGGAAGCTGAAGGGACAGCCTGACTTAATAGCTGAGTTCAGCATGCAGTTTTTTAGAGGCTGGGYATTGCTGGGGTGGGTTCTTCTCCCCCTTAATTSACCTCAGACTGTTCAGGAGTAACGTATTTGCTCCATTAAATAAAAAGTATCACTTAGCAGTCGGGGAGACTTTCATGTAGTCTCTGGACAGAAAGCAAGCCAGCATTTGGACAGCATCAATGTCAGGGGTCAAATAAAAATCTGAAATACCAGCTCTGATATGAGAACTAGAAGGAACTGCTATTAAAGGTTTCCTCTAGTTTGCCTTCACCTGCATAGTTCAGTTTTGTTGTGATGTTGGATCCTACGCAAAGCTGAACATTGTGCATTTTGGATCTACAGAGCCTTGTGAGAGGAACATGTTAAACCTGCATCCTTAAGCTCTGTCTTGGTAAAACAGGGATCTGTAGTGAAGCCCTATCTGTGCACTATGACTGCTTCAAATCACCTAGAAATATGACTGTACATCTCCAAAACACCACCTGCCAGGGAAAGGAGTTTTCTAGCCATAGGGAAGGGAGCAGTTTCGTATTGCTGGAATTGAGATTTTTCAAACCTTCCGTCCTGCCTGTTCAGGGCAGCGATGATGTTTCCACCTCCGCACTGCCTGGTGCAGATTCCTGTTCCTCTTCTGCCAGGCATAGGCCTTGTTCACCACCACTTTGTCACTCTGTACTTCACCACTTACAACAAAGACCCCTGCGTGAGTGCCTCGCATGATGTTGTGGGCGCAGGTGGCATCTATGTCCAGCCACTGCTGGAGCCTGCCAGGGATTTCAGTTCTGAGGAGTGGACCATGCTTCAACACCTCCACTTTGGAAGGGTCCAGGTCRAAATCCGAGATGGTGGTGGTCGTGTTCTTCCTCAGGATTCGGATTTTCACTGCTGCAGGGGTTGGAAAAAGAGCTGTGAGTTCTGTTTAMTCTTCATAGCTCTCACCTACTTAAACACATAGAGCCAGCCCAAGGCTTCTCTGCTGTCTCAGACTCCTCTGTKGGGAGGTGTCTGTCCAAGCCCTTGTAATTTCAGTGAACTTGTAAAAGTTCTCATTTGAGGTTAGTTTCCAGTACTGAACACTGTTCTTAGAATGACAGAGTTATTTTGCTTGGAAAATACCTCAAAKATCAAGTTCAACTGACCCAGCACTGYCCAGTTCACCACTAAACCATGTCCTCAAGGGCCACATCTACATGTCTTTCAAATACTTTCAGGGATGSTGACTCAACTCCTTCCCTGGGCAGCCTGTTCYTGTGCTTGATAATTCTTTTGGTGAAGAAATTTTTCCTATTACCCAATCTGAACCTCTGCATTGCAACTTGAAGCCATTCCCTCTTGGGAGACAATACCTCCTTSTCAATCCATTTCCCTCCTAAGAGTGGCAAAGATGGGATCTGCTGTAAAAGCTGCAGTTTCTCCAAGTCAATATGTTATGGCAAAGCCATTTTTGGTCCATGCCACTGCTTGGCTCCTGGAGGGAATGGCAGCAATTGGGAGGAAAAGGAARGTACTCACCAAAATCATTGGCACAGAGGCTTTCCAGGATTTCCCTGGTAGTGCTGGCCTCCTCAAGCTCGCAGTCCTTGCAACTGGCTCGRGGCACTGCTGCAACAGAAATTAGGTTATAACACCCTTGTCAAGCTTCACTGGAAAAGGCACAATGAAATTTTGAGGTCTGTGAATGGTGACTTGCTGTTTTCTAGTGATGCTTCTTCCTGAGACCCTGGAGAGATACCTCACACTGGCAGGGTGGGAAATGTTAAACTCTCCTTCGTGTGACTGGGGCAGAAGCTGCTTGTTGTGCTTTGTTCAGGCTTGTGTGTGTTGCTGCATGTTAAAGCAGCAGTGAAGATGCTTAATGAAGATCTCCTAATTTGGATGAAGCAGCAAAACCAGTGGTATTGCCAGACTCCATCCAGTGATGCTGAAATGATGTTGAAATGTCTGTTCTCTCCTTAACAGCTCTTGAATCTCCCCCAGTGYTCATTAGTATCTGGGTGTTAATTTAGTCCTTCAGACAGAGTTTTTTCCAGTGTAACTCATTTCTGCAGAGGCTCATGTCCCTTCGTGGTGTTTCTAACATTTAAAGAGAAGGCTTTCAAAACATTTCTTTTTGCATGTTTTTAAGATCAGGTCTGCAGCTCTGTAGCTCTACTGGAAGCACATCTCGCTGCTGGGAGTCTGCACTCCATGAGCTCTCCCACTGTGCCTGGGCCAGAGGCTTTGCAGCCTTTCCTTCCCCCTGCCCCAAACCCTGCGGGGTTTGATGGCACCCGGGGAGCTAATGAATACAGCAGAGAGAGAAACAAGCCACAGTCAATGTTATGCTAATTTTCTAGACACAGTTCCCAGAGAGAACAAAACTAGAATTTGTAATTTTTTTTGTTTTAGTACACTTAAAACCAGAAATATGCAAAATAAAAACAAGTCATAGGATCATCCTTTTGAGCTTTCAGTGTYGCATATGAGAAAATACATGAAGAAAAAAACTCTTACTTCTCCTACTTGAGGAATTTTCATCCATGGAGACTGCTGCAATGCACAGTTCATGATCTGCAGGGAACTTGTTGCAGTTCAGGATTTCGGGCCAGGGGTAGCCGTAACAAGCCATGACGGGTGCACAGCTCCTTTTGACGGCTTCGCAGAGGCTGCGGCAGGGGTAGATGAGCCTGGGGAGGGGATGGGCATTCAGCACCTCCACATGCCTGGCAGGAGGCTGAGGGTCTAGCCCTGGCACTGCTGCTGCTGCACAAGGCTGTGTTGTAGTGTTAGCAGGCAATTTTTGGATCTTTGATTTTTTTTTAACATGGCCAGGAAACAAGCAAGGAATTTCTGAGGACAGGAGGGATGAGGCTGTTTAATACTGCCAGAAGCCCTTCACTCCCTTAGGGTTTTTCTCTAGTTGTGCAAAGACTGCTTACCTTTACAGGCGCCTGATTACACACCAAATTCACTTAGCAGCTGTGTACTTCGAGAACTGCACCTTGAAACTGGGGATTTCATTCTGCTGTGGAATTGTTGGGAAACAGTTGGGAAACTGAGAAACCCCCTATGYGTTTGGGACAGGAGCTGGGGTGAGGGGCTGCACAGGAGGTGGGAGGTGAAACTGGTGTGTGCCAGAATCTACTGCAGTGTATGAAGGGGTGAGCAGGGGATGTGGCAGCAGTGCCTGGGGCAAGAGAGCAGAAAAATCCCAAGGAGGGAACATATTTCTGCTTCTGTCATATGAAATGCTCATGTTTCGCWTTCAGAGGGATGTTCCCTGCTGGGTAATCCAATTGTCCCTTGCCGAGAGCAGCAGCACTGCATCTTGGGGACTGCACAGATCACATCGAGTGCATTTTCCCTCAGGAGGCACATGCAGTTGTGCTTCTGGGGGAAGTTAACTGTTAAAGCTGAAATAACTCGTAAAAATGTCTTACCTGTCCAAGCAGATTGGTGCAAAGAGAGAGCAGAGGAAAATCCTAGCATCTGGGTGGCACTCCCTGGCCAGCAAGGGCAGCCAGCTGGAAGACTGCTGGATGACTTCTGTCATGGTCTCATGCTCCAGCAGGTTGGGAATCCTCATCTCGGAGTAGCCGATATCGTAGCACAAGGCCATGCGGTGCGGGATGGGCATGCAGCTGGAGGATCTCCTCAGGTAGCTTGCCCAGGCCCCTGGAGAGCCCCAGAGCAGCAGATGTGCCAGGAGACCCAGCAGCCACCGGCCACCCAACCTCGAGGGGTGCCTGTGTAGGGATGTGACCATGCTTGAAGCGAGTGAACCGACAGCACACCCCAGACTGAGCTGCTCCTGACTGTGAGATGCCTTTTATAGCCTACGAGCCACCTCTTTGTCAATCCATCCTCATTAAGTGCGGCCCTTTCAGAGCCCTCATGGGGAAGACAATGCTCCAATTTTCATTTGCCAGCGGCCCCGATTGTTTGTATTTTAGCAGGGGTTTGGCTTAGATCAGCAGGTGTGGAAATGAGGGCASTTGGGGAGGGATGAATGATTTGGCCCATGTGTCTTGGGGCTCTTTCAGCCAAGATTGAATCTCTGTTTGACACCAGTGCTCCAACCCATCCCCTTTCTCTTGCTCCAGGATTAGTCATTATTTCATAAACTCCAATGTTTTCCTCTCTTTTGTTTTTTGTAAAAGCAATCAAGTGTTACTCAAAGTCAATTAGGAGGCATTTGTTTAGCTGGATCTATTGTTGAGCAGGCAGGGAGATAGGATGGTCTCACAGCCAGAAGTTAACCGCTTAGGAGAGCTGAGGGCAGAGAGGAACTAATTTGCAGCTGGGGAGCCAGGTTATTTGCGGATGGGATTGGCAGCACTCAGCTGGAAACCCCTGTCACCTTGCACCCTGCATGACACCACACCTTCCAGTTAACAGAATTCCTACTTCATTCTGAAATCCCATTGCTGCCGCTGAAGAGTGGAATTGTCCTTCCTTCAGCATGTAATTAAGATTCCATAAGCCATCATTATTGTAGCCCAGTTTGGGGAGCTGGAAATACTGGGGGCGTTGGTTGTCAGTGCACACGGTTCATTTGGAGCTGGTGCTGTGCCACAAGGTTCAAACTGGTCAGTGGAAGCTCCAGCTCTGAAGCATCCCCTGGCACAAGGACCCTGCGCTGCCTGTGGCGGAAATTGTTTCCTTGGAGGGTGTTAGGAATACAGCTGGCTGCATTGTGTTACTGGGGCTTACCAGGAACAGCTCGTTTTCTACAGGGCTGGTTCTGSTCTGTGCTTAGCAGGAAGCCAACTGCTTATTGACAGATTGAGCCGATAGGGTTGATTTCAGGTCATGGAAATAATTAATTTTTCCCCTCCATTTGAGGATTGCTGCTGCTGTTGATCTATAATGTGTCCTTGGCTCATACCTGCAGGAGCTCTAGGGAGCTGCAATTTGGAGAGCAGGACCTTGGGTCCAGGAGTCCTTAACCTGTCCTGTGCTGGTGGTTTTTCTTTCCCTTTTCAAAWGTCTCAGCAGCTGGTAACAAGGTCACTGTAGCCATGACAGACGCCAGCCAGGAGAATCCTCTCAACCTCCTGGGCCACAGTCTAACTGCTCTGGAATAGGACCTTGCCAGTGCTTTCCAAGTGCATGCCTGGTATACCATGCAGCTAGAACTCTCCTAGCCTCCTGGTCATCAGTGGATTTCTCTGCATTTAAACTTTGCTTGGGATTATGGAATTGCCTGATTGCTGCTGGGATTGCTGCTTTCCTTTGTGCTGCAAAGGAAAGCTGGAGATACCTGGATATGRAGCCTGGCATCCTCCATGTGCAGTATCTTCCTCTTTAATATTGCATTTGAAGACCATTTTAAGTGGGGGATCAAGAGAATTAGTGGGAGTAAGTTAAATTTTTTTTTCCTTTCTGTTTGAGTTTCATGGTAGAGCACTGTACCATGCTCCCCTAAAAGGGATTTGGTTTTGTGCAATATGCCATCATCTCTACATGAGAGCAAGGAAGTCTGAAACTCTGTCAATCACCATTGCCCACTGTAAAGATTTTTGGCCTCRCTTCCTGTAAAGCAGCAGTTCCCAGACTTGAACCACATGGCACCTTTGAAATGGTAATATGTAGAGATATGCACGTGTTTGTTCACTCCTTTGTCCATTGTGGTATCTGTGAGAGAGTTTAAGGGCTTGACCCCGGGATCCAAACATTTAGGAACTGCTGCTATAAAAATACTTGCCTCCAGCAGCTCAGGTGTGTGGTGTACGCTCTTTGGGAGCCCTTCTGTTAGAATAATGGGTGTTTTTGAATGTCCCACAAACTTAGACAGTACCTAAATTTCCCACCTACCTCTTTTGGTTTTTTTCCCTGGGTCTCCTGCCAACAGCATAGAATCTCACTGTAACAGTTCCTCAGTCTCTGTTGCTGCTCCCACTTTTGCTGCAGAAATTCCTGACTTCCTGACAGAGGAGGAATGCAAGCTCATTGTCCATCTGGCAAAGCTGAAGGGGCTGCAGAAGAGCCAGATCCTACCAACAGAAGACTATGAGGAAGCCATGGAAATGATCGAAATCAGCCAGATGGATATTTTYAATCTGCTGGATCACAATCAGGATGGGCAGCTGCAGCTCAAAGAGGTAGAGTACAGACCAGGGGAGGTTTGCTGGGGATCATCTGGCTTGTCCCCTCCTCAGATGCTCTCTTGGTTACTCATGTGCTCTTGGTTACTCAGACTCAGGGATATACTGATCACAATTTGTTTAATTTTGTCTCAAGACTTGTGCCRGCCTTTAGCATGGAAGTTTCTGGGGCAATGTGCAGTAGTTGTCATGCTTTTGGGAGGCAGCAACAGTCTTTGGCAGGACATGTGTGTTTTGAATATGCTGGATAAAATATTCCTGTTCTGTGGGTTGCCTCTTGCTGTGTGTCCGGGAAGTGAGATTGTCACGTAGGCCCTGTTTTGTGCAGCCTGTGGGCAACTTACTGTGAGAATTCACAAGCCCCAGCAAAGCCACCCCTATTGATGAGCCAAGGGGGCTAATGAACATCTTGTCCACAACTCTTCAGCACCCTTGCCCTGTGTGGCAGGGTGCTTTAGTGCAATTCCTGGCAGTTCAAGTGTGTCCCTCCTCAGGCTCCCTTTTCAGGTGCAGCTGGGAGTCTGAGCCATCCTGTGTGCYACAAGTGCTGTGGAGTATGGGGAACTGTGCCAGTGACAGCCCAGGGCAAGGCTCCTTTCTCCAATGGTCAGAGTCTGCTGAGAGCTCTTCAGGCTTCTGCATCTCTCTGTGCATGTTGAGGGGAAGAATTTTGTTCCGAGCCCTAACCTTGGACAAGTACAAGCATTCACTCRTATCATCAAGTTTATTCATTACGTTCCTTTCAAGAGAAATAGTTGTGCTCTCTCCACCTCAGGGCTGGTTAACCAAGTCCCAGCAGTCCTTTGCCATGACCTAAACTGGAAAGAACAGCACTCATCAGCCACRCTCTGTGTGTGGCTGCCAGATGATTCTCACTGCAATTGTCTTTCTGCAGAGGGATGTGCTGATGCCTGTCTGGCAGATATGCTGTGGAGGAGATCCTACCAGGCTTCGTGCAGGGAATCTGTAGGGTCTCTGGGGTGTAAGAAACCAGTGCCTGTTGATGAYCCATTTATGAATTTCAGGTGTTGACCCACACCCGACTGGGGAACGGCAGGTGGATGACCCCTGAAAACATCCGGGAGATGTACTCAGCAGTCAAAGCTGATCCTGATGGGAATGGTAAGAGCAGCTCCATGGGAAGCCCTTCACCCTCAGMAGCTTGAACACCTTGCACAGCCATWTGAGGGAGAGGAAGAGCYATGTCCCTGCCCAGGCCTGTTTCTCTAGCTGAATTCTTCAAAGGGATGTAACACTGCCCTAGATACCTTCTCAGGAAAGTAAATGCAGTGTAACCCTCTTACTGCAGCACTCCTGTCCCTGTATCACTGCTCTGGCAGCTAACTGGCCCTATTACCTGGATCAGGACCAGACCACAACTCTGCGCTCCCTCTCCCRTTAGACCTGCCTTGGTTCATCCCCTGCTGTAACTGAATCTTTGGCCTGTGCTCTGCTCCCTTGGTCTGAGGGACCACGCAGGTTCTGACTACAGAGTTCTTGTTACCTCGGATACAGATGTTCAGACACACCTTCCACGCCTCCCTCCCCGGTGTTCAGGGATTCTTGTGCAGCAGGCCAGGATCCCCGTGTCACTGTCAGGGGAGAGTGGAATAAGTGGAGGTGAGGGTGATCTTGTCAGTCAGCCTTTGGTGCTGACCCCCCTCTCTGCCCCTACAACCTCTCTGTATTCCATGAGGCCACTTCTGCCCCTCCTGCCCCCGGTCTCCCAAGGGCTCCCGCTGCTCCGGACATACACTCTAACCTCTGCTGCTCTAATTAGAGTGGCCTCAATTAAGCAACACTCCATTTCCTAATCAAATTAAGTGAATGCACAGGCTCTGCACACTCTCTTCCAGTGACCTGGCATTGAGAGCTGCCCAGGAGGAGCTGCTTTGGAGTTGAAGCAGAAGCAGTGTGAATGCATAAATATCCGGAGGGCACCCTGTGCCACTCTCCTCCAAGCTGGTGGCATTCTTGGCAGGGSTATGACTGAGTCCTCAGTGGCTTTTCCACCATTCTGGACATTAACAAATGAAAGGTCCTGTTAAAAAGGCTCTTGGCAGGACCTTGCTTCCAGAGTGCTGCTTCCCTCTGTTGTTAGATTGGTACATGACACCAAGAGACCAGGTCGTAACCTGGATGTGGCACTGCGTCATCAAAGACTGTGGGGAGTAAGGGGAAGTGGAGACAGAGAGACACTGGGAATAATAACAGTGGGTGATTTGGTCATGACCACTGGCACCTGAGGAACTGTCCCTGGCTGACCCTGGTCTCTCTCCTCCTGCCAGGGGGTGCTGGTGTCCAGGAGCAGAGCTGGCACCCAGCAACACTGGGTTTGCTGCCTGAGTGAACTCCTCTCCCAGCCCGTGGTGTGTGCTGGGCAGCCCAGGGCAGTGCATTGCACGCCTGGTGTCAGGGACCTGRGTAAGGCTTCCCTTCTCCAGAAGAGAAACAACAAATGTTAGGATTTTCCTGAAGCTGATAAAGGCAACAGTGCATCCTGTGCAAATAAGAAATATTTGTTTTAGGAGAAACTGCTTCATACCTCTTGCTTTTCTGTTATTACTATTTAAGCAAGACCATACTGTCATGTATTCCTCACTCATGTTTTGCTATTACACACAGAAGCATGTACTGCTTGTTTTGGGTTTGGCTTTTTCTTAATTWCCCTGCAAGGTCA